TCCATAAGAAAGTAAATTTAAAAAGTCCAAGACATCCTACAATTAAAAGAATGAATTGAATTCACCACTTCATTATTTAAAAATAAATAACGCCTCCCTACTCATCCAGACTCATATCCTAGGGTCATGCTCTGAAACGTGATGTCACAGAGAAAATGATTCTCCCTCTACAGTCTGAGTTCTTGACTGAGACCCCCACATGGTCAAAATCAGGTCAATGAGAGAAAAACAGAAATGTACTCACAGGTACCTCACACCCACGTCCTGAGAGCACCCCAGAAAGTGGGGAACCCCCTGAAATGGAAATAGTGTCTAACTGTCATCTTGAGCTGCAGACAGGAGAGCTACTGGAGGGGGGGTGGGCAGTGGCAAGGCTCCAGGGGCGCGCAGCCAACAAGGACGAGCTCCACGTACAGGTTTAAGTCGGGTCTTCTCGGAGGAGATCATCCTGCAGCTTCAAGTCACCGTCCTCTTCCCGGGGCAGTGCTGGGGGGTGGGGGGGAGGGCCTACCCAAGGACAGCCTCTCACGTCGGGACATCTCAGACCTTCTCACGCCCACGTCTGCCGCAGCTCAAAATCAGCAGCTCACAATACCCCTTATGCCAGAGACGTAGGTACTCCGCCCCCTTCAACATGGTGGGCGAGTCGGTTCTGCAGGTAGAGCTGGGAGCAGACTCTACACCCCAGAGGGTTCTGGGCCCAGGAAGCCCCCTGCACCGCACCTGTATCCCGTCTTCTCCCGCTGCAGCTGCCCGCGGCCGGAAACCACCATTGAATTTGGCCATCTTGCTTTAACGGCTCTCTTTTCTGTTCTCCTCATAATTCACCAGGCCAGGGTTGGGACACTCCCCTCCTGAGACCCACATCTTTATCTTTGAGCTCTGTCACCAAGAAAAATATTTGCACAAGGCTGCAGATGAGCGAGGAGCCACAGGCCAGCCACCATCGACGGCGGGGGGGGGGGGGGGGTGGTAGCATGGTGGCCAAAGGGGGGAGCGGGCACCAGGAGGACCTGGCCGGCCTGAGGGCCTCTGCGGCTCCTAGACCCGGGGCTGCCTTCCCGAAGCCCGCTGGGGCTCATTCAGTTCACCGGAGACCCCCTGCTCTGCGCTCTAGAAGCAGGTTCCAAGCAGCCTGCCGAGATTTCTTCCTGGGGAGAAGACAAAGCAGAACAGAGAAAGGCCTTCTAGTCAGGACACCCCGCTCTGCATTAAGAATAAAAGGAGCTTTCTGTTCTGTTTTGACAATAGGAAATGCATTTACTATTTTCTAATTCATTAATCTTAGCCTAGGATTTTGCTAAAGTTCTCTGTTTTTTTTTTTTTCCTACAACACTCCCTTATGTCTATTCCTTCTAAAAGTTGCCAAATCTGTACTTAAGCTTGAATGTTTACTCATGGAAACGCTGTAGCATTTGAGGACATTGGAAGTTTCTAGTGTATCAGTGATCCTGAGCTATCTGAATATGAAAACACCTGTTTAATTTCAAAACTACTGCAGATCTGTTCCAAGGATGTAATTACAGCACTGGGAATGTGGTCAGTATTTCATAATACATTTGTATGGGGGGTATAATCTATAAAAATACTAAATTACTATGTTGTACACCTGAAAGTAACAATGTTAGAAATCAACTATGCTTCACCAAGAAAGAACAAAGGGAGGAAGGGAAAAGGGAAGAGAGGGAGGAAGAAGAGAGAGAGGCAGAAAGAGAGAAAAAAAAAGAAGAAAGAGAAAGGAAGGAAGAAAGAAGGCCCAGGTCAAGTCCAGCCTCTCCATCAAGCTGCGTGCCCTCAGCAGACTCTTGTCCTTAATCCTAAAACTGCTCACCTCCCAAGGCCGGTGACCACTGGGCCTTCCTCATGGGCTGAGACTTAAGCGGCATCAAGCATCACGGAGCCCGGGCCGAGGATAGGGCTCCGGAAGCGCCGGGGCCTCTGCTGCTGACCTGGATTCTGCTCTTTGCCTTCCCCTCCTTGGTGGATGCACCCTGAGAGGCTGTTCATGAACTTGCTGGAGCGGGTCCCTCCCCTCCACACACACCCCTCTCCTGCAGGTTCCTCCAGAAGCCCGGCCTCAGGTCTGAGCCTCGCTGGCTGGGCCCCAGCCCCTCCCTGCCCTGTCCTGAGTACAGGCTCCGCAGTGGGCTTTCAGAGCCAGCCCCGACTCGCCGACTGGAAGAGAGCTGCCTTCCTGGGCTTTATGTCTGTCTTTGTCCTCTGAGAGCCCCGGAGTCCAGGGTGCCTTCGCGAGCTCCCCTGAGGACGGTCCACTGTCCACCCAGGCCACGTCAGAGGGCAGGAGAGCCATCTCTCCTTCCTCCAGGGGGCGAGAGGTTTCCCTGAGACGCCAGGACTGTGGTCCACACTCCGCTCCCCTCCTGATGGCCTCCTGAGCGCAGGCTGGATCGCAGGACCACTTGCTCACAGATCAAAGCCGGGAGAAGGCTTGCCTTCTGCTTGTTCCGGAGCTGTTGTTTTCAACACGGATCCTCAGATGGTACAGGATGCCTGTTGGGGACACTGGTGTGAGATTTATCTGAGGTGTCGACTGAAAAAAAAAGCAAAACCACAGCCCCAGAGTTGAGGGTTATGTGTTATTCGGTGGGCAGAATTGAGGATTTAAGGCCAGGGACACAGCATCTCTACCACTCTGAGACACTGCTCGGAAAAGGCAAGGGTGGGAAGCCAGGGTGTATGGGGGGATTTACAACTAAGACCAGGCAGTGGGAACATCAGAAGATCACTGCTTAAGCGGACGCTGGGGGCCAGTGGAGGACGGAGGAGCGTGGCGTGCTGCAGGCCGTGGGGTCACAGAGAGTCAGACACGGCTGAGCGACGGAGCAATGACAACAACAAACTGGACCTCTCGAGTTGAGGAATTCAGCTTTTTTCTACGTATGGGAAGATAAGGAGCCCGGGCTCCCTGGCATCGCTCCTCTGATGTCGCTGTCCTGGCCTCCATCCTGAGGTCCCTCGGGGCTCAGAGAGGCTGAGGCTGTGACTTTCTTTGTTTTGCTGAAGCGGCAGGCAGCATTCTTAGCCCACAGACGAATGCGGGGATTTGTGCTGGGCGTGGATGCCGGAATCTTTGTGAAACTGAAGTTTAATTCTAGGTGAACTATGAATGGAGACAAGTCTTGTTGGTGAAGAGAGAAAGCAACTGCATGTGGACCCTCTCTCTCCTTTTTCTGGATAAAATCCTAATTTCAACATTGCAGGGCTTCCCAGGTGGCACAGTGGTAAAGAATCTGCCTGCCAACGCAAGTCTCAAGAGACACGGGTTGATACCTGGGTGGGAAAGATACCCTGGAGAAGGAAACAGCAACCTGATCCACTATTCTTGCCTGTGGAATCCCATGGACAGAGGAGCCTGGTGAGCTACACAGTCCATGGGGATGCAAAAGAGTTGGACAAAACTGGGTACCCACACATACACAGTGCTCATAACCCAGCATGCATGCGGGCGTGTGTGAAGAATATGTGTATCTAGTCAGTTCTCCGAGCCATGGCAAGCAACACAGAGTTCCAAGTCGAGAGGCAGCTCTGGAGGATGAAGGTGGAGGATGGAGTTTTGGAGAAAAGGGCAATTTTTACATCAACGGTTGCATTTATGAATCTTCAGGAAAATTGCTGCAGGAACAAATGAACTCATTTGAAAGTCGCCTGTCTTCTTGGTCTTCGTAAGAATAAAGCTCATCAGCTTGTGCCCCAGCTCTCTAGACTTTGTAAACTTGACATTGAATATGCAGAAAGCGAAACAATCAGCTCTGACCCCCTAGTGGCTTAGACAGGTGTGCAGAGGTGTGGGTCTGTAATTCACAGCTATTAAATCCTTTAGAGAGGTGATAAGAACTTTCTCTTGGGGCAAGAAAGTATGACAAGAGATGAGGAGACGTGTAAAAACACTCGTGCGTGGGGGCTTTGATACAGTTTCGTGATGCTAAGTGATGCATAACTATCAGCCTGGAATTCACACCTAATCAACTCAATGATTAATTGGAGGCACCATGCCTTCAGTGAAAACCGGAGTGGTAAGATTAAGGGGGAGCCAGCCGGGAATCTGTCTGGACTTTAGTCTCAATGTTCAGGGGAAGAAGGAACATATTTTTCAAATGGCAAGATATGTTCTTTATTTTTGGCCATTAAACCACTTCATATAAAAACTTTATAAATTTATATGTCAAATTTCACGAAAAAACAAAAACAACACCTTGCCCTGTCCTGGAGACAATGACCCAACTCATTGGATAAACAGTGTATTAAAATATCTCAAGCTGCCACTCAAGGCTGGGGATCCCGCCTCCCACCACCGTCCCAGCCCTGCCCGCACTGTCTGTCTCTCTCTGCAGCCTGGATGCAAGGGGATGAGATCAAAGACTTTGCACCCAGAAAGGACCTTCCTGCTAGAGTCTGTGCTGGTGCCATCCCCGGGCAGTTACTAACTACAGAGAGAAATGATGTCTTTCTCGATTTATCTGCTCAGTAATCATGCTCTGACTTGAGATATATTTTGAATTTCATGTTTCACTTCTCAGGAAAAATCTCAACCCAATATGTTAACTGTGGGAGAATGCCACCAGGATGCATAACTTAAATGTTTCAATTTTTAACCTGAAGTTTCTGGATAAACAGAAGGATTTTGAATGTGCTATCATTCTTTGTTTAAACAGAGCTTGCTTGCTAAAATATGGACTAGAAGAGGCAATATATTTCTCAGGCAATTTGGAAAGTGGTTATAACAGAGACAGAGAAGAGGATCTTTAATTTTTATGTCAGTTTATCTCAGAAGATATCATGAAAAATACTTGAGTTCTTGCTCGCTGCCCATATCTCAGATGTGAGGGGGAGCTGGGGCAGGCCTGGTACTGACATTCTGGGCGCCTGGAGCAAGAACACAGAAAGAGGCGCCTACACGGTGTGTCTGAACTGAGTTAAGATTCTGTTAAGGCAGCGTCTGCTGTAAACCCCGACTTAGAGGGATGTGCCATGGTAATGACCTAGAGGTGAAGGGTTGAATTTGAATTCTCAGATTCCCAGGAGTCTCGTGTTCCTGGGTGGAGAAACGGTCCCTGGCCTGGGTGCTGGCCAGCGATCTTTCCGCCCACTCCACTGGGCAGAACTCTGGGTCCTGGGAGGCTGAAAATGGGCTGGGAAGAGTGATACGCAGGCTCTGGGTAGAGATACCTGTAAGAAGGATGTCACCCAGAAGGGCAGGGTGTGGGGGCCTCTGAACTTCCTGGTTTAGTGGGAGAGCAGGACGGACCCTGCCTCTAGTTGCCCCAAAGGGAAAAGAAATAAATGGTCATTGTCACAAGGGCTGAGCATCTCATCCAGGACAGAGGTCATGACTAAGTTGGGTCCATGACTCTTGATCTGAAATAAACCCCTTTATTACCAAATTCTCAAGAGAGGGAGAGGTGTGGGGAGACCTGCCTCTCTGTGTGGACCTTTGCAACAGCTCACTTATCTATGAAAGAAACCAATGGGGGTAATATCTAATTATTACTGAATATGATTTTGAATAGGGAACAGACTTATAGCCACTTATAGAAAGTCGTTATGGCAGAGACAGGGAAGAGGATCTTTAATGTTTATATCAGTGGGCTTCTGTGATACCTCAGTTGGTAAAGAATCCACCTGCAATGTGGGAGATCTGGGTTCGATCCCTGGTTTGGGAAGATCCCCTGGAGAAGGGATAGGCTACCCACTCCAGTATCCTGTCCTGGAGAATTCCATAAGGTAACAAAGAGTCAGACAGGACTGAGTGACTTTCACTTCATCACAGAAGACGTCATGGAAAATACTTGCGTTCCTGCTAGCTGCTGACTATAGCTCAGATGTCAGGGGGAGCCCGGCAGGCCTGGTACTGACCTCCTGGGGACCTGGAGCAAGAACACAGAAAGAGGCGCCCACACGGTGTGTCTGAACATCTGAGTTAAGAATCTTTCCTTAAATAAGAATTCTTTCTTATTCAAGAGAAGTGTCTTTTGAATAAATTTTATTAGAATTTCAAATCATATACTCAAACTTATAAAGAGAAACTTTCTATAAACTGGTGTCCATGTTGAAGAAGGGGTTCCCTGATATTTAGCCAGAAATCCCCCTCCAAGATTGGGTTGGGGTGGATCTGTGAAACTTCGAGCCTGACTCTTCCAGGTGGTTGGGAGTCCCTGCCCCCAGCTCTGTGTTGCTCTGAGGATGGATTTTTGCAAGTATGATTATGGCATTAAAGGGTACAAGCTCTTTTAACTCTCTTCCCATATATTGCCAAATTGCTTTGCAGAGAGGCAATTCCAGTTGATATTTCCACCAATGGGGAAGATTATAGCTATTTCACTCTAACCTCTTTAACATCAAATATTATGTTTCTAAATTGCCAATTTGAAGGATGGAGAAAAGTCCCATAATTGTTCCTATTTGCATTTTAAAATTACTTGTGAGGCTGAGCGCTTCTCGTGTGCTGAGTGCTTCTTTGACTTTTGTGTTCAAGTCATTTGTCTCCTTCATGGTAGATTAGCAGCTCCCCTCACCCCCAGAAATGCTAAGGGTATTAAGCCTTTGCAACGTTTGGTGTTAATATTTTTCTTAATAAGCTCTGTGTTTCAGTGGCAGGAAGAAGACAAAACATTATTTTGTGACAATAAATATTAATGAGTTAAGTTCTCCTATTAAATGGCAAAGACTAGCAGATTAGAGCGAAATGTAAAACACACAGAACATACATAAGACAATGGTAATTTAATGCTAGCTGTTTTAAAGAAAAGGTTTCCATGTGTTGGCTTTTAATTACTGGGTGGATCATGGGATACTTCCTTGGGGAAGCCTTTTTGATTGGACTTCCTCCTCCTAAATGCTGTTACCACATACAAGAAGCATGTGTTCGTATTGGTGGAACCTTTATGCATTATTTGCCCTCACATACTTGGTGCCTATTTTCCATCCTCTTGGAAGTCCCTGCGAGCAGCACACGTTCTGTTCGCTGCTGGAGTCCTTCGTGTGTGATGGGGGCTGGAGCTCAAGCCCCCAGGTGGGAATCATTCCCTGATGGGCTCTAAGTGCAGGATCTCAGTGAACCCTCACAGCAGCCATGCAAAGAGCTGTTACTGCTCCCAGAACACAAGTGAGGGACCTGGCTCTGGGAGGTAAAATGACTTTCCTAAGGTCGTGAATCTCTTAAGTGGTGTAGCCAGAATGGAAGCCCCGGTTTTACTGATAGCAAAATACTGTCACTGCAGTGGAAAGGTTGGAGACAAAACAGCAGGAAAGATTTATTTAGCACAAGCAAAGGAAAAGAAAGGCAGGCTGGCTCTGTTAATTTAAAATAAAGGTCAGAAAATAAAAACTACAACGAAGTATCATCTCATGCCGGTCAGAATGACCGTCATCAAAAGTCTACAAACATCAAATGCTGGAGGGGTGTGGGAAAAAGGGATGTAAATGGGTGCAGCCGTAATGAAAGCAGCATGGGGTTTCCCCAGAAAACTGACAATAAAGCTACCATACGGTCCAGCAATCCCGCCACTGGACACGTATCCTAAGAAAACTCGTTTGAAAAGATACACGCATCCCTGTGTTCACTGCAGCACTGTTTACAATAGACAAGGCATGGAAGTGACCTAAATGTCCACTGACAGGGGAGTGAATAAAGATGCGGCAGTTTACACAACAGAGTATGACTCAGTCATAAAGACCATGAAATAATACCATTGGCAGCGACATGGATGAGCCTAGAGATTATCATGCCAAGTAAAGAGAGTCAGACGGAGAAAGACAAAACATGATATCACCTATAGGTGGAATCTAAACTGTGTCACAAATGAACTTATTTACACAACAGGAGTAGACTCACACACAGAGAAGACAGACTCATGGTTTCCAAAGGGAAAGGGCAGAGGAGGGATAAATTAGGAGTCTGGGATTAGCAGATACAAAATACTGCATATAAAATAGATAAACAACAAGGACTTACTGAATAGCACAGGGAAATACATTTAAGATCCTGTAATAAACTAAAAAATAAAGGTCACATTCAAGGACAGTCATTGACAAGTGGACAAGGAGGGTCGCTGTGTGTTGATGAGAGATCACTGTATCACTCAGTGAGGATGGGTCAGTAGAATATTTTATAATAAATACCAGTTAAATACCAATATCACAATATACAGCCAAACACTTTGAGAATTAACAGATTTAGGTGAGCAGAAACCCATTTATAGGAGATTATGTGTCAAATAAACAATGCACAAATGAGAGATCTGTTGAGTCTGAATAGCCTTCCTGAAATGCTGAATTAATGAATTTTTATCAAACATAGTATCATAACAAATTATTATTTCATCCTTTTAAGCCTCTAAGAGACATTTGCAAAATAGTGATTATATGTTAGACCACAACAATAATATCAGTTAATTCTAATGCATTAAACTAGAAATTAATTTTAAAAACTGCTCACAGAGAGTATGTTGCGGCTAAAGTTTCTTTAAAAAAAAAAAAACCTTCCGTAAAATGACTGGATTCAAAAGATCCGGGAAGCCAAGCACTGAGGCCCAGGGGGACTGAGCCGTCAGCGCCGCTGATGAGCCCCGGTGCAGAGCCGGGCGGAGGCGCCCACCGCGCCTGCTGAGAGCAGAGCCGCGGGAGCGCAGCGACTGATCGGCCGTCCTCTGCGAGCCCCGCCCCGCTCTCCAGGCTTCCGCACACTCCAGCGTCCCACGCGGCGAGAACTACGTCCCCAGTGCCATCTCTCCTCCTCCGCTCCTCTGGCGGCCGGTGGGGGCTTGGCCCCTCGGGCCTCGGGCCTCAGCTGGAGCTGAACCCCGTCCAGGAAGCGTCCCTGCCCCAGGGTCAGCCCGGAGAAGGCATCACGTCCCTGCTCGAGTGGAAACACTGCAGACAACCGACCATCAGGACCACAAACCTCACAGCAAGTCCTTCTTTCTTGATTTCACCCCCTACTGAAGGAAGCTCTTGAGAGCACAGATCTTGACCTTTCTGAGTCTCTGAAGCCTGGCAGAGGATGGCCACGAAAGGGCTGAGTGGACGAATTAACCAACTAATCAATTGTCCTTGAGTGAGATCTAATAATTACAGAAAAAAAACCATAACATATATGAATAGCAAAGACTATTGGGGTCATTTAGTTTCAGCTCCAAAATGTAGCGATCTTGGATGTCATCATTCTCATCCTTACAAGAAACTATGGAAAATACAAAAATCAACAATTTTGGGGACCCACCGGATAATGGTGGTGACAGGGCAAACCCCCAAAACAGATTTCAAGAGAAACGCATATCTGAGAAATGCAGCTAAGACCTATATACCTGCAAGAAGATCAAACCAGTCTATCCTAAAGGAAATCAACCCTGAATGCTCATTGGAATGACAGATGCTGAAGCTGAAGCGCCAATATTTTGGCCACCAGATGTGAAGAGCCGACTCCTTGGAAAAGACCCTGACGCTGGGAAGGATTGAGGATAGGAGGAGAAGGGGACGACAGAGGATGAGATGGTTGGATGGCATCACCGGCTCGATGGACATGAGTTTGAACAAGCTTCGGGAGTTGGTGATGGACAGGGAAGCCTGGTGTGCTGCAGTCCACGGGGTCTCAAAGAGTCAAACACGAACTTAGCAACCGAGCAACAAATTATTCTCTGTACAAACACCTAATCTCCAGGGTGAACACCTAATCTCAAGAATCTACCAGAGGCAGCTGTGATGGACCTGGCTGATGAAAAGCGTGTCCACTCCAGTGCTGTCCAGCCTTCCTGCCCGACCTGAGGGGCAGCCATGGTCCACATAGCACAGAGCTTCAAGGAAACAGATTAGGATGCTTTTGGGGAGCAGGGAGAAGACGAGAGAAACACTTGGCATGTATGTAGCCAAGGTCCACCCTGCCAGCTTCTTGAGGCCACCAGAACAAGGTGCCACAAATGTTCAGTCCAGTCTCTCAGTCGTGTCCGACTCTTTGAGACCCCATGGACTGCAGCATGCCAGGCCTCCCTGTCCATCACCAACTCCTGGAGTTTACCCAAACTCATATCCATTGAGTCGGTGATGCAACCCAACCATCTTATCCTCTGTCGTCCCCTTCTCCTCCAGCCTTCAATCTTTCCCAGCATCAAGGTCTTTTCAAATGAGTCAGCTCTTCCCATCAGGTGGCTGAAGTATTGGAGTTTCAGCTCCCACAAATCAGGCATCTGTTCCCTCTCTGAATCAAGGTGACAGGGCCGTGTTGCCCAGAGAGGCTCTGGGGAGGGCCCTTCCTTGCCCTTCCAGCTTCTGGCAGCTCTGGGTCATCCTTGGGGTCTAGACTGTGCCTCTGTCATCACACAGCCTTCTTCTCTGTGGGTCTGTGTCCTCTCCTTTCAGAGGGATACATCGCTGGATTCAGGATCCGTCTGATAATCCCAGACACCCCGTCTGGAGATCTGTGGCTTCATCACATCAAAAAGGCCCTTTTTCTAGACGAGGCCATGCTCACAAATGGGTAGGGTGTGAATATATCATTGGGGCCACCATTCAGCCACATAGGCTCACCAAAGTCTGAGACTTATTTGGAAGATGACAGGACATTCTCTGTACCCCATACCCCACCAGCGTGCTGACAGAGCTCTGGTACAATGACAGTAAACTGTTCAGTATGATTGCAGCTGAAAGCGCAGCAGGGCACAGGCCCATGTGAGGAGGAGCCCTGGGCATAAGGTCAAAGGGACACGGGGACACAACCCAGGACCCTGGACAAGCCCCAGACCTCCGCACCTGCAGCCTCTCGGAAGTTAAGCTCAGATGAATACAAATCTTTTGCACCCATGATGTACACGGCCTGCTCAGCTTTCAGTGAGTTACGAGTGACAGAGGGAAGACCGCGTGGGGACCAGGGAGTAGACGGCCATCCGCCTGGGAGAAGGGCCTCCGGAGAAGCTGCCCCGGCCACACCTTGGTCTCAGACACTCAGGCTCCAGGACTGGGAGGGGATAAACCTCTGTTGCTTAAGCCACCGGGGCTGGAGGTCCTTGTGGGCACAGCCCGAGCCGCCCGGAGGCACGCGGTCCCGGGCCTTGCCCGGGTGCTCAGAGGTGAGGGCCATGCTGGGGCTTTTCTGAAGCCATTTGGGAAGGAGCAGCTCCTGCCCCTGAAGATTCTGGAGCAGGCGCGTGTGGGCTGGTGCAGCGGCGGGCAGCGGCCTCTCTCCTGGGGGGCAGGGTCAGCCAGAGCGGCATGGGGACAGGGCGAGTCCCCTCGGAGGTGGGTGTGTTCAAGTCCCCATGTGTACACGGGGCTGTGCACACGTGGGAATGTGTGGGGGCCATGGGTGGTCCCCGGGGTCTGTTAGGCAGGGGCTGGCTGGAGCCGTGTGTGTGTGTGTGTGTGTGTGCGGCGCCTCCCCCCAGGCCTGGGGCCCAGGGTGGGGGTGGCCCTCCCCAGGGGCCCGGGTCAGGTTCATATACCCACGCCCTCCTTGCCTGGGAGCGTGGGCAGCTGACGGAAGGCAGGCCGACAGCGTGATGCGCTTCAGTCACGCTGTCTGACTTCTAAGCAAGTGGCCTGGTTTTCGTGGAACGTGGCTTTTCCCTGAAGGGTGGAGCAAGCCGATTTCTGGAGCTTGGAACGGCAGCCGCGTTACACGAACCTGTTTCCCCCTCTGCACACCTCCCCGGCTGGTTCCGGACGTGAGAAGAGCGGCCTGGCTGCGTGCAGGCCCCGGCTGGGGAGGGGCCCAGTGTCTGGGGTCCGCCGGGCTCTCTGCAGATCGCCCCAAAGCCAGCTTCTGTCCTCCCGTCATATTTTCCTCATCGAGACAAACTGCTCAATTTTCCCATCATTTCAAGGGGCTGTTGTGGCAGGACAGGCTTGCCAGAGAAAATTAAATCCCGGGCGGCATATTTTGGGGCGAGGTGAAAGGGGTAAGGATGATAAATGTGCATGAGAATAGATGCTGCT